ACCTACTGCCGCAGGTTCAAAGATATGAGTATGGCAGTATGGGAAATCCTGCGTGTTACTGGCAAAAGCTATGATGAGGCAACGTCGGTACGTAGCGGCAGATCACGCATGTCAAACACATGTGGCACACAAGCAACTGCTTCACCAACTTCAGTGGGAACACCCCATTCAGCTCTTGCGGAACGGCGTGGCATCCTCCTCTTTACTGACTTCAGAAGATCTACTCTGCACACATGGTTCCGGCCTTCTTGCACAAACTCAACCGCAGATCCCGATGTCAGTGATCCACTTTTCAGTAGCAGAGGCGGGTCTGGACTGTAAAACCTGTGGTCTGAGCTTCAACCACTCCTACACACTAAGAAGACACGAACTTTATGCACATGGTCTTGCACCGGCCTTCTCAACCCTAGTTTGACGTGACAGTACAAACGGCAAACCGGCATGCAGTCATTTTGGACTCTTGTTTGTTCGTTGGTGCAATCTTGAATACCACATCAACACCGACAACTGTCCTGACTTTGACTCTGCACAGGACGCCGTCTTCTGAACATCTCTGATGCTGGAGATCTACAGTGTAGGACGATCAGAAATTGTGCAAGTTTTTGACACATCGATGCGTCTTCTGCGACTTTTGGGCAGCTTGTAGCAGATGGGGGCGCACATGAGCCCTGATCACTCTGAGGCCAATGGTCTTGCCTCGCAGGTCTTTCCCAACATCACCCGCGCCCGAGTACAAACTCCTTGTGGGTTCTGTGGACAGGACTTCAAATCGAAGACACATCTGCCATGTAATGAAGCAGCCGGGCCTGGCTTTGGGAGACAGGAAACATCGTGATGAAAAAAGCCCCAGTCATCCTACCCCCTTGGCTTAACCTGTCCAAAGAATGGAAACTCAGTTCTCGCGCTTGCAATGTGGCCGCAAGTACGAAACGACAGCAGGACTACATCAGCATCAGACAATGGAACACACTCATACAATAACATTGAGAACCTTTCAGGTACCAGGTTCCAACACATGCGCATAGCTTTCAGGAATTCTCACTGCACTGCGCCCATACCAGATGAGCCTCCTTTGCTTTGGCATCACTGGATCCTTTCAGGTCTCAACGGAGGAACATTTGATCATTGGAAGGGGCACAAATCCCTGCTGAGGCGTCTTGGACAGATCTGCGGCTTCGGTGGAGCTTGGAAAGACATCACAGGGTATGCAGCATGGTTGCAGGGGGCAGTTTGGAAACATCATCCGAAACAAAGAGCTATGCGGGTTCCTTGCTGAACGCTGCAGTCTCTGTGGGAAAGCCGTGGACTGGAGGGATGCGTGTTCACTTATGGCACAACCACGTCAAGCATTGCAACAGGGGATCACTGCGCTTTCAATATGTGAAGCCCCTACGAGTGAACACCAAAAACACGCTCCATTCTTCAGATCTCAGCCCTCTGATCCTCCACGGCCATCATGAGCGAAGTGGAGGAGCTGAAGGAGATGGTCACAAGCATGGCGGAATGGATGGAAGTCGATGGCTCGAGTCTTGCCGCGCCACAAAGACAACCTTCAGGTCCTGGCGGCAGAACAAGAATACAGAATACATGATTGTTTTGAGCAACGGTCCAGGCACCATTCTCACGAAACTCATGACCACGGCTCAAGAGTGGCATGGAGCCTTGACAGGGGAACGTCCTCTACCATTGGGGGCACTTCCACGTCGCATACAATGCTTGAGCCGGATGAACCAACACCAGGAGGTGGCGAAAAAACTGCTTCAGATGAAATACTTACAGCTCAACAACGAGAAGTAGTTTGTCTTCCCTCGCCTCAACTGGAATGCGGAGTCTCAACAAATGGAAACACAAGAGGACGCTCCAGTCCCCTTGCTTCAGGTGATCCAGACGATACAGCGGATCGTATCACTGCTGACACAACATAGCCTGGTGATTCGGTTCGGGGCACTTCGACCATCCAAACAGCATGATGGCCATTTTCTGGAGACTGACCGATATGATCCAACCACGGAACACCCATGGAAACTACAGGGGCCAATGGTGTTGGGCCTGATGGATGCAGCCTTGCTTCAACAGTATCCGGAGCCTTGCCATCGACTTGTCACGCGCTGCGTTGCTTATGACAGGGCACCTCTCCGTTCTTTCGCGCCGATTTTGCTGAGCATGCCAGCTTTGAAGATCACGAATGCCCATGTCACTGACAATGGGCCATGCTGCACCTGCTTTGGAGAGGCTTTCAAAGGTCCAAAGCGGAAGAAACAAAGCAGCTTGGAATGCTTCTTGACTCGTTGGCCTAAGTCCTTCGAGGAGTGCAAGGCGGACCTTCAATGCCCAGGTCTACACCAACTTCGTGACCGGAGTGCGTTCAGAAAGAAAGAAAGAAACAAAGAAAGAAAGAATGAATGAATGAATGATGATGATGATGAACACCAGTTACGAAATGCATGTCGCAGAACCAAAGTGCGGGGCATGCCCTCATCCTCCGGTCCCCGATTGTGGCAATAAATGAGTAGAGTGTAGTGAGGGAAGTAACGAAACAGAAAGTTCCGGCATCTTGCCTGACATCCACATCTTCAAAAAGAACATTGCAATGCCTCAAAGACAAAGCTCCCAACTCCCATGGGGACACATCCAGCTTTCATCTCCGAGCAACTCGTCCGGCCCGCATCTCAGAGACATTTGTCTTCATATCCTCGGAAGAAGAAGAAGAAGAAGAACTGATGATGTGATGGGTGGGTTGATGGCGGATGCAGGAGAGGACGGTTGTGGGAGTTTGCTGTGGCCCTTGACCCCCATCCAGCACCGTTGTTAGTAGGATGGATGCTTCGGTTGCAATCATCTTGACTAGCCCATCCAAAAGGTACACCAGTTTCTTGTTACTAGTAGCTTCTTGCTTTAGTAGCAGTAATGCCCTTGTTACCAGTAGCGATGCCCTTGTTACTAGTAGCGATGCCCTTGTTACTAATGGCAATGCTCTTGTTACACCAGCTTCACAACCAGGCTTCTGAGACGTTGCTTTTCATGCTGGAGACACTACTCTTCATTTCGGTGATGCTGCTCTGCACCGCCGCCAGGTCGATCTTCACGTCCGAGACCTTTCAAAGAAACTCCCCAGCTCTTGGCCACACCCAAAACACTTTTACCATTCCCTTGCTACTAGTAGCTTCTTGTTACTAGTAGCGATGGCCTCCAACCTAATAGCGATGGCCTCCACCTAGTAGCTTCTTGTTGGCGAATTGGACCAGAAAACGTGCGCACCACACAAACCGCCCTGAGTCCACCGTCCACCCACCTGCTGTTGGATTTGCTGAATAGCACCCATGCAGTGGCGCTTGAAGTCGTTGAGCTCGCTGCTTTGCGCACTCACGGCCTCCCGCAGGACCTGAGGACAAACCCAGTGACACAGTGGTGAAACCGTTCAGAAAAAGAAAGCAGTGCTCTGGTTGAGTTGGTGGCCAAACTTTCCACTCCAACCCAAACAAAGTGCCAACAGAAACAATAGACTCTTCATTTGCCCGGAGTGGAATTGGGGTCCTCCCCGTTCATGTGATCCAGCCAAAATGTTTGAGTTTGGACACCCACAACACCAGTTCACCTCAGCAATACTATGGTTGATCAGTTCTCCGGCCTACAGTAGCACATGGACAAGCATGGAAAAGCTGTCTGCGCTAGAAATGCGGGGTCCGTTCGACACAAAGCGAGCTTGCGGATCGTGCCTCTAGCTCTGCTTTCTGATGATACTTGGCCTGATTGGCATGCTGCTGCAGTTCGGAGAGCCACTGCGCCTGGCCGAGCTCACAGTCGCTGAGTCTTCGCAGCTGAATGTCAGCGTTGCTTGCCTTCGACGAAGAAACGGAAAGAGACTGAAAGGACAGCCCAGATTCTGACCCAACAAATCTCGAGGTGCTGGGTTCAATGTCGTCTAACAGTCCGAACGGCTGAGAGATTGGGGACCCCTGGCATAGGCCAAGACCGTGGAATCCACGTCCGTCAGAGAGGTGAAGCTTGGTGAGGCACGGCCTCGAGAGTTGACATCTTTGCAGAACTCACTCTACCTTTCAGGGGATTTTGGACCAGCAATGTGCCATGAAATGCATGCAGTTTCCTCTGTAGCCACTACAATCGAGAACGAGGTGGCTTTTATGTAGCGAAGCCAGAAGATGATTCTTCTTGTCGGTTCAAGTCTTGAATCCTCAGGTTACTTCCATCCTGGCTGCACCTTTGTAGTAGCAGCAAGTATCTATCTTGTAAAAACACAGCAGCGGGAGGCCAACTGATGATGCTTAAAAAAATCAAGACCAAAAAAAGCTTTGAAAACATCATAAATAAAGAAGCTTTGGCCCACACTTCCTGGCGGGCTCGAGGAGTGCTCCATCTTCGCACCAGCCGGTCAGGGAACCAGTGTAAGAGTGAAGTCTGGCTTTCCAAGACCCTGAGAAATCTTTTCTAGCTGAAACATCTCGCCACCCGGGCAACCTAATTCAACCCCATGTACTTCCACTGAATGCACAAGGTCATGAAGTATCCCGCAGTCACAAGATCAAGATGTTTACGGCCTCTGGATCTCAGATTTGCCAGTCTGATAGAATTGTTTCTTGGGAGATGTTCAGGGAGATTGGCTATGCGAAACTGCTATGTATTGCATCAGCCATTTGAGTAATCTATCTGCCCTGTGCAGTTACTGTCCTGTGTGCTGCACAAGCCTGCTTGCTGGAGCCAAAAGCAGCAGTGTCGGGGCACCAAACCAACCAGCTGATTGTGAAAGCAACAAGAAAGTGTTTCCGCAGGAACATAGATAGCGCATTTTCTGCATCAGCAATAGACTGGGTGGTGCTCCAAAATGATCTCCAGTAGCGTTGAGTAGGTATCGCTCCGCTGGTCACGGATAGGTCACTTCTGGGCCACACCCGTGGATCCCTGGGTTCATCCCACCGGTCCGTCCTGCCCCTTGTCACCCCACAACTAACAAAAGTTTTGACCTCACACGTTGAGCCCTCGGCGGGTCCAGATTCAGGAGCACCGCCTAGGCCCGCAATGTTGGCTGTGGGAACCCTCTCCAGAAAGCTTGCAAAATGAAGCCAACCAAATTCACAACCAGTGTAGAATTCAAAGTGGGTTCAGTCAAAAATCCCTTGGTACCTCAAGAAGTCTTCTGTATCACGCGTGTTGGGCGCATGTCAGTTGCTCAGAACTTTGGCTTCAGACTTTTTGAGAACTTGCAATCACGTGTTCAAAATGTCACGCCAGTCAGATCCAAAATGCAAATGTCCTGCACTGCACAAATTATCTTATGTATTATATATAAATATGTATATATACACACATACACGTATATAAACTCTTCGATGATGGACATCCGACATTCCAGAGTATCCTTTAACATGTCCTGATTGTTCCAATGAATCACCATGCATATTTGGTCTTCTATCTTCACCAAAAATGTCCAATTTCCTGTCAATTGGGGCGCAGGCAATGACCTGATCCTTACAAAGGCGTTGGGAAACCCCATGCTTTTGTTTCCCACAATAGTAGTAGCCTGGCCGCGTCAGGCGACCGGTGAGCCCTGTGGAGATCGCTGGCGTCCGGACTGGTGGATCAATGGGCGAATTTTGTGGATCCAATGCAATGGGAGAGATCATTACCACGTTCATCAACTTTTTAATGTTGTGTCCGAGTGTCCCATTTCAAAAAGTCTTGCTGGCAAACGCCCCAAACTTGCAGGCGCAAGTCTGAGAATCCGGGAACCAAATTTAGATAGATGTGAATGGCCCACAGTTTTGCTGTCCCAAGCAAAGCCCGGTCTCCTCAAATTTGCAGGGCCTCATGGGTGTGTCCGCGATGTTTCGGGGATCCTAGAACAATCCACTGGACATCGGAAACGTTGTACTGAATGTGTGTGTGTGTGCGTTGGGATACCGAGACCCGGAACCAATGGGTCGTAGACTAGTTTCCAACCAATGCGTCTTTGCAAGCTCTCACTCCCTACTTTAATACACACGTCTCTGTAGTAAGGCCAGGAGCCCCTAGTAGCGTCCTTGCTCCTAGTAGTAAGGCCATCTCTGCTGTTCCATCCACATGGCCCCAGCAACACCTTCTGAGTCGAAGCTGGCACTTTCATCCGTCTCCCCGATGAGCAGAGGGGACTCCTGGTCGGGCAAAAAGAAATTAGGGCACCAAACATTCACGTCATTTTATTGTAGTTGTCCTGCTACGGGCGGAGGAACTATGGCCTAACTAAAGCGGCCTTTTCAAACTCAAGTTTTTTTCTTGCGGTCTTGAGGGGCTTGAATATTTCCAGCCCAGCATCATGCTCTTGGACTCCACCCTCAACATGCGTCTGGGCATGCCCTCTTCCATGCAGCCTTCAACGCTCAACCGCAGGACGCTACAAGCGCAAAAGCCACAGGCGCGCGCTGCTGGCAACGGACGGCGCACCACTGTGGGCGCAAAACGCTGACAGGCAGCAAGTAGGCAAGTAGGGATTTGCAAATTGTATTTTACAGGATCAGCTCTAATAGTACTAACTACCTAGCTAACCCTGCTAGTCCGGTAAGCGCTACCTTTTGCTCTACCTTGAGAGTCAACGCTACGGGGTCCATGGGGATGAGGTGAATTTCAACACCCCCCTTTACAAGGAGCTACCCGTAGGGAAAATCTCGGGGAGGATCAAATTCTAGCGACGAAGGAATCATATTAGAAGTCCCTCATCAAGCTCGTGCATGCACTATACAAGGAGAACGTAGCTACCCTAATGTACAGTTTTCGCCTCACTCGGCATGTGGTTAAACATGCTAGGCCCAGGTTAGTGTTAAGCATTGATTAAAAGTTCACTCTCCGACTATGGCAATCCTGTTATGGATGCATTGGGAAGTGAGACAATGAAGTGAAACATCATCTCACAGCGCGTCAGAAGGTGATCTTTATCTCAACACTCATAAGCTGCAAGGCATACCATTTATGGTAGCTATTCAACATCTGCTTAAAGAAATTGTATTCCAAAACGCTCCGTCTCGTCATGCCATCCCTGCCTCAACCACTCCCACAATTCCATGTGATTGGGCCAATAGTTCTCGCCCCATGGGTCATCGCGTTGCCATTGTACTCCAGGAAAATCAAAGGGTTCCAATGGTCGATCAATAGTTCCACGAATGCTGGAAGTCGGCGGCCCAGTTAAGGGTGCATTATGCGACGATGATGCCGAAGCGGATGAAGTTCCGGGTGGCAATGGCGGCGGTGGCACGTTTTGTACATTCCATTGCTGTGGAGCATAAGGTCCTCCTCGAACACTCACCTGCTGCTTATCCTTGCCCTTTCCTTTTACGGAAGGTTGCAACCGACTGTAAAGGTCTGTAAGCGGCGGCGGCTTCGGCGTGAGATTGAAATCTGTCGGCCTTGTATGTACCGGAATGCCACTGGCTGTATTGGGTGGCACTTTCGGTGGAGGAACCTTTGGAGGAGGCACCTTTGTTGGTGGGACCTTCGGAGGTGAAGGTTTTGCTGGACGTGGTTTTGAAGCCGGGGATAAGCCGGCCGTTGGTGCATCATTTGGTGCAGGTGGTGGAGGTGGTGATGCTGGGGCCTCTTTCACCGGTACTGACGGTGGATTGGAAGGAGGCTTTGGGATTGACGGTTTTGCAGGAGTGGATGGTGGAGTGCGAAGTGGAGGGCCCAAAAGGTCCTTGGGAATGTTGCCACGCTTAGGTGGAAGGTCTTCACGGCTGCGAGATATTGCACGGGCAACTGAACCACGTGGCGTCCCTTTTGCGGGAGCAGTGGAACCTGACGCAGAAGAACTGCCTTGCCCTTTGCCCTTACCGGCAACATCTCCTCGCACACTGGCATCCCGTTTATGGGAGTCTCCTTTGCCTGATACTTGTCCTTGAGCAGGAGGTGCATTCATACTGAATACCAACGAGGTATGCGTCCCTGTTACGGGAGCTGGCGGCTGAGGCACGCCTGGCGGTGGAGTCCGGTTGTCAACCCAAGTTGCAATACGACCAGATTGATCTCGGTCTTCTTTCCTCCTCCACTGCAGCCTCGGTCGTTTGTCTGCATCTCCAATAGTCTCCATATACATCTGTGATCGCTTCCGCGTCAACGGGGGCCTTGTTACGGGTCCTTGAGGAGATGGGGATCCACGCTGTCCAAACTCCAACAAAAGTTCTTCCAACCTTCTGACTTCGTCAGATGATATGTCCTGGCCACAATCGGCAAACTTGGGATAAGGCGTGGCCATGCGCTGTTCGATGTTCATGAAGCCCATCTGTGAAACTGGCTGTCCACGATCGCGTCCCTGCATATTTGCAGACTGTTGCGCGTTTCTCTGATATTGAATGTTTGCATAACTTTCATTCTGCTCTGCAAACTCACTCAAAATCTTGTAAATGCCTGTCGTGTCTCCACGAGGAATACGAATTGAATGAATATCGCCATAGACGTCCGTCGTGGGGATAAAGCCCTGGATCTTGATCTCATCTCGGCTATCGCCAATTACGGCGGCGTATTGTCGGAGCGACATAAACTCTCGGCGATAACTGATCAGAAAGTTCTCGTCGACGCCTTGCTTGAAACAGGTATGTAGGTTGTCAACACCGCATCGAATATACGCGAGCTTGGCGAGGTCAACCCTGTCCAGTCGATCCAAATCACTGACAACCGACTTCCCTTTTGATCTCTGCTTCGCTGATCTCGTGGGTGCCGGTAATTGCAGTGACGCAAACAAGTCTTCTTGCGCTGCATCAAACGCTGTGCATCCTTCTCCGGTTAAGGAGGTGGCGAAGACGTCGTCGCGGTTGAATCGATCGAATACATTCTCATACCCTGATTTCAATGCTTTGCGAAGGCGACTGCGAGCTGCAAGAATAATCTGACTGTCAACTGACGGGCTGCCACGAGCTGGAGGTCGTCCAGACTGTAGGTCCTGCGCGGCAATGCTGTCAAGCATGCTTGTTGCGGTCATGTTCTTGGGCACGCCCCCCTGCTCTTGTAGCACCTTTGCACGCCTCATCTGAAGTCGCATAAACTTTGAAATCGGTCCATCTGTTGTATTGCTCTGAAATACTACTCCGCATCGATGACAAGATGCCATTCCTGCTAAGGAAAGTGTCGTACATTTATCGCAGCTGAAAGTTCGAAGATGTAGAAAATATCCACTCTCGATCTGTGGTACAGCTGTATTGCGATTTGCCTCCATCTCTTCCTTCTTTGCGGCACTGCTGCTAGCTGTGCGTTCTTCGGGAGTGGCGTCGCTTGTACCTTCCAAAATGGTGCGTACTTCCGACACTTTTCCCGGGACCAATGTCACATCATCTTGCGGAACACCGACCTCAATGTTCGAAGGGTCCAATGCCTGCGGCCTCGAATAGAAAACTTCCGGCTCCGCATTTGCGCGGGCTCGAGTTGCAAATAGAATACACGTATTCGGAACGTGATGGCTGGTAATCACCGCGCCAGAATTTGTGAGGAAAAGATCAACTCCTGCTTCAATCACATCCGGTGTTGAAAAACAAATCTCCACTGGTCGGTCAGCACGAACACCAGATATCGCCTTCTGGTTTCCCAGAGGTTGTGTTGAAAAGAAGGAATTGCCTTTGCTTTTCGGTCCACCGGCTCCACCGCCGGGAATGAGCCCGCTCGCAATAATGGATCGCGCAGCACCTTCATGCGTTCGGTGGTAAAGCCGAGGTGGTATATCGCGGTTCCCGTGCGCTGTCAAACGAGCATTGTACCTGTGTACATGGTCAGGACGGCAGTAGATTAGTACTGCTAGCACTTCATTTGATCGCGTCTCGAGAACGTCGTCGGTGTGGCCTTGTCCACATCGGATTTTGACGGGGGCGGCGAAAAGTTCGAGCTGCTCGTTCACACGAGAGTCGTACACGCATTGAAATTCGAAACGATCTTTGTTGTCATAAATAGCCATCGAAATCAACTCAAAAACATTCATAGAATCAGCATAATCAGGGAATTTGGCCTTCGCCAAATCTAGTAGTTTGTAAATTGGCAAATAACACACCGGATCATAAATACTGACGTCTGGGACGTGTCCACGAAGAAGACCAGAAATACCGCGACGAACATGATATGGCCAGGAGCAGCACCACTCCCAAGGCCCATGATGATAATCCTCATATACATAATAATACCTATGGCCAGTAACGTGGTACAGCGCGTACTGCTTGGCGTCGCGGCCCAGCTCATCCTCGAGGAGTTGGATGTTGCCATTCCCGATGGCCTTGAGTAGGTGATCCGGGTAAGGATACCTTCCGAGAACTTCTTCAACCTCGACCTGCATATTTTTGTACTCGGGGTTAGGCTTCGTCTCGCGAACGAGAACGCCCTTCCCTTTTCCAGAAAATTTCAAGTCGGGGTTGTCGTTGTTCTCAGGTGCAAGAAAGCTCCCCGTTACGGGAGCGACCGAAGGGGTGCCTTGTCCCTGCCCTTTGCCTCGCAATCGCGGCAATGGTGGTCTCGAGTCAGATGAAGACGCTTGACCCTCTGCGGGTTGGTCCGCGTCCGTCGGGATCATAGGAACATCTCCGGTTGCACCTTCTTCAACAGTCGTTTCATCATCAGCCAAAACATCAAGAACCTCGGCCTCGATCTTCGCCATCTGTGGATCAGGTTCTGGTGCTGTCGGCAAGGCATTTACGCCTGCGATACCAGTATCAGGCCCAGGTACTTCGTCGGTTGCGCCTGTATAGCTATCGGGCATCTCAACGTCCGCGTCGGTTTCCTCAACCTTCGGCTCGACTTTTACGTCGGCTGTCGCAACGTCATCCATCGGCTCGTACAATGCGGGCTGTTCCTCCGGTAGCTCAATAACAGGTACAGCATTGACAAACTGCAACACATCTTGAGGATCTTCGCCTTCCAGGTTAACGGAGGCCTTGAGCTCTTCGACTGACACGTCATTCGTCTCAAAGGGGCTGTACGCTTGTACTTCCTCGACAGTAAACTGCCTGCTCTTCCCCAACGTCTGTTGCATTCGCGCGTTTCGCTGTTCAACAAATTCATAAGTTGTAAATACGATTCCGGTATTTTGACTGTCGCTGAGGAATCCCAACTGTATTTAAATCTTCTCACCCTGTTGAGCGCGGCAATTCCCTCTCGGGAAGCTTCAACGACGTTCACATGGTACGACAAT